GCCTGGGAGATTAAAGCTCTGAGCTAGAAGAGGAGGCTTTCTGTCCTCACAGTTCAGGGTGTAGAGTCTAGCTGGAGGCCCGGTTCTGATTTTATTCATTGATTGTCATTGATGAGCACCCTTGGCCCACGGGGTGACTAAGAAGGTTATGGAGCACAGATACTCCACCCTCAACTCCCTGTAAGAAAGGAGACTTATTTGGCCATAGTACCTCCCTCTAGGAGTCTCTAGGTGGTGCAAACAGTTAACACACTCAGCTCCTAACTGAAAAGTTGGAGGTTTGAGTTCACCCAAGGCACTTCAGAAGAAAGGCCTGGCGATCTACTTCCAAAACATCAGCCGTTGAAAACTATGGAGCATAGTTCTATTCTGACATACATGGGGTCACCACAAGTCAGAGCTGACTAGAAAGCAACTTTTTTTTTTTTTACTGGTACCCCCTGTTATGGATTGAATTGTGTCCCCCAAAAATGTGTATCAATTTGGCTAGGCCATGATTCCCAGTATTGTGTGATTGTCCACCATTTTGTCATCTGATGTGCTTTTCCTGTGTGTTGTAAATCCTACCTTTATGATGTTAATAAGGTGGGATTAGCAGCAGCTATGTTAATGAAGCAGGACAATCTATAAGATTAGGTTGTGTTTTAAGTCAATCTCTTTTGAAATATAAAAGAGAGAAGGAGCAAAGAGATGGGACCTCATACCACCAAGAAACAAGAGCCAGGAGAATAGCATCTCCTTTGGATCTGGGGTCCCTGCGCTGAGAAGCTCCTAGACCAGGGGAAGACTGGCGACAAGGACCTTCCCCCAGAGCCGAAAGAGAGAGAAAGCCTTCCCTCTGGAGCTGACACCCTGAATTTGGACTTCTAGCCTCCTAGACTATGAGAGAATAAATTTGTTAAAGCCACCCACTTGTGGTATTTCTGTTATAGTGGCACTAGATAACTAAGACACACCCCCTCCAGGGCAGAGTGACCTGGTTAGGACCTGTAGTGGCTCCTCCAGGATGTTCTCTGGAAGGGGTGGGGAGGATGCTGGACACCCTGGCCCTGGCTGTGCTCACAGCCGCTTCCACCTGCTCTGCTCTCAGGGTGCATTAATGCTCTCTGGCACCGCCCAGTCCTTTGGAAGGGCCCAGGAATCAGCCCTGACAAATGCTTTGTGTCTTGTGTTCAGTAGCAGTGAAGGAAAAAACACATTGGTTTACTCTTACCTTTTACTGGCATTTGAGAAACCTGATTAGTTTAATAAGTTCGAAGCTTCCTCCCAGATTTGTAATGCTGCGATTGATGCTGAATGAGTCCCCACCTTTTCTGGGGAATTCTGGCTTCTGGCTGCAGAGCCTTCTCCATGGTCCTTGCCACATGGGTGAGCCTAGCTTCCCCCCACTCCCATCTCTCTGGGCAACTGCCGCTCTCTTCCTGACACAATATCCTTATCTTTAGGGTCCTTCCCCATGGGTCACCTCTGCCTTTTCACTGAAAAATCTGGCCCCCTGCTCCTCTCCTACTCCTTTGAATGGTTTGCCTCACTTTCCTTATCTGGAAAATGCAGACTGGCTGTGGCAGGAGATGGGAACTTTCAGGGGAGGATTTTCAAGGTCTCTCCCAGCTCTGACACTCAGGGACACTGAGGGAGCCTGCTGAGGGCAAAGGCATCATGCTAAATGCATGTGTGTGTGGGTGTATAAAATAGTTACGATGTGGCGCCCCTCCTCAAGAAGGTTGTAGTTGAGTAGGAGGTCTGACACATACATAAAAAATCTCTGATGATCCAACATAGATACCCTTTAAGTGAGGTGCATAAAGTTACCAGAGTTCACCAGAATTCCCAGGAAATGAGATTCCTTCTAGAGGCAGAGGGGGTTGGTGAAGGGAGTAGAGCAGGATTCTCTAGTTCTTTCCCAAGGCTGGTGACACAGATGTCCTTGGCTTCCTGCCCAAAGAGTCCTAGTTATCTACCCAGTTCTGATCCTAGCAGAAAAGTCATCCCCTCCAGGGGCATCCTGCTGTCTCGGGGGAGTCTGTCCATGTCCCCCAGCCTCACACCATCTGAATTGGTACCCTTCAGTAAGTCTTTTTCACCTTCTTGATAATTCTGCTAATATTTACTAGGCATTGACTAGATGCCAGGCATACTGTTAAGTGCTTCTGTTATGGATTGAATTGTGTCCCTCCAAAATATGTGTTGTAAATCCTAAACCACTATACCTGTGGATGTACTTCCATGTGGGAATAAGATTTCCTTTGTTATGTTAATGAGACCATAACAGTGTAGGGTGTGTCTTAAGCCAGTTACCTCTGAGATATAAAAGGAGCACATTAGGCCCGAGAAGCAAGCACAAATGGAGGCGAAGATGCACACCACATGAAGATCTCCAAGGAACTGAGGGACAGAAGCTGAAACGAGACAAGGACCTTCCTCCAGAGTCAACAGAAAGAGAGGAAGCCTTCCCCTAGAGCCGGCGCCCTCAATCTGGATTTCTAGCTTTCTAAACAGTTGAGAAAATAAATTTCTGTTTGTTAAAGTCACCCACTTGTAGCATTTCTATCATAGTAGCAATAAGAACCTAAGACAACTTCCCATGCACCATCTCATTTCTCCTCACAACAGTGCTTTAGGGTGGGTATAATTATTGTTTGTTTACAAATGGGGAAACTGAGGACGAGAGGTTGAGTGACCCACCTTAGGTCCTGTGGCTAATCAGAAGCAGAGACATATATGAACTCAGGCTTCCAACAGCATCTCTTTCCTACTTGCACTTGCAGTAGAGTGAGATCTCAAGTACACAGGGGCACAAAAATCTTGAATAGAAACAGAGCTCAGGGGAGGAAAAAGGGACATATTAGAAGACACTGGGGCTGGGAGCATGGACTAGGGCCAAGGCAGAGGAACAGACAATACAGGCTGAAAAGCCAAGGTTAAGGCTGGAAAAGCTCTCCCTGGGAGGATCTGAACATCAGGATAAGGATGTCCATGCAGCAGGACTGATCAAAGGGAGAACTTCTGAAGAGGGAGTTTTCTCAGAAGGATCCTCATGGGGGCTGTGCCTGGGGGCTTGAACCAGGAGGCCTTTGAGGACAGTCCTGGCTTTGTGGCTCTGTGATTTGTCAGCTATGGGTGTAGCTTTCAGTGTTCATCCTCCTCCTAGTCACTTCTCCAGTCCCTGAATTCCATCTTCATACAGCTACAGAAGAGGGAGACAGTAGAGTTCTGTGGTTAGGTCATTGGCTTCCTGGGTCTGAGTCCTGGTTTCTCCTCCACTGCCTAGTGGTGACTTTGGACAAATTATTTCTCTGGGCCTCTGTTTCCCCATCTGTGGAATGGAACTATAATAGTACCTATATTATATGAATTGCTGGATGGTTGAGATAATACATGTAAAGCACTCAACACACTAAACTTTCACAAACAGTAGCTATGATGATGATTTCTCTACAAATCAGTCTTGTGTTTTGGTTCATGTCTCACAGTGTCTTTTCTCTGCTTCTCAAATCCCTCACTCTTCAAAGTCAACAAATGCCTCACAATGTAACAAAAACGAGGAGGTAGTACAGCAGTGGTAGGTAAGGGCAAGGACTTGGGAGGTGGCTGGTTTAGGTTTGCATCCTGGTTCCTATAACCTTGTGCAAATTACCTTTTCTCTCAGTTTCCTCATCTGCAAATGGGAATGATAGTACCTGTCTCATCGCCTATTATGAGGATATAAGGATTAAATGAGTTAACGTTTGTAAGGTACTTATAATATTGCCTGGTACATAGTAGGTGCTTATGTTAAAAACTTTTCTAGAATCTCAAAATATAGCACGTAGCCATATATGTGGGTCTTACTCATACTCTGTGTGCCCTGAAGGGCTGGAATGACATCCAATCCATCTTTAGCTCACTGCCTGGCTCATGTTTGGTGCTCAACAAAAAGTGGTTAAATTGAAATAAACCAGGAGGCAGTGCACTGGCAAGACAGAATTGCCCAGATAAGAGGATATTTAAATTGCTGATTAGGTGTTGGGGAGGATTAGAATTTACCCCTTTCTGGAATATTTGAAGGGATCTACAGTTTGCTTCTTGGAGCCTTGGTGGCACAATGGTTAAGTGCTCTGCTGCTAACCAGAAAGTCCATGGTTAGAACCCATCAGACCCATCTGAGAGAAAAGACCTGGTGATTTGCTCCGGTAAAGATTTCAGCATACGAAATCGTATGGGGCAGTTCTACTCTGTCCTATAGGGTTGCTATGAGTCAGAACAGACTCCATGGCAAACAACAAAAAGTTTGCTTCACTGTTGCTGGGCCAGGAGACATTTACTCGAGGCCTGTGAGGCTGTATACAGAGATGGGATAAACAGCCCTGTGTTAAAGAGCAGGGCTTTGGAATCAACAGAGTCAGAGACACTTTATCTGTAAAACAGGAATAAAAAGATCAACGTCCTACTCAAATGAGATAGCAAAAGTAACACTTGCCAGATAGGTGGGCACCAAGTAAGTATTATCATAGCCTTTTTACAGATGAGCCTGAGAGAGGTTACGCGACCTGCCCAAGCAAATAAAATGAAAGCGTGAAGATTCACAGGTGTGTGAATTAAACTCTCTGCGCCTACGGATGGGAAAGTGACCTGGCGGAGTTAAAGAGCAGTTCAAAATTATAAGGGTCATATTATTACAACGAATGGCTTATGAATGATAACAGGAGGCCAGAGTGGCTCTCGGACAATCCGACCAGGACGCTTGCGCCAGCAAACCGCTCGAAAGTCCGCTCGCCCTTCGCGTGCTTACGTGCGCTCCGTGACCGCCGTGCCGGAAGCGGGGCCAGCGACGGAGGCGCTTGCGCCCTGGCGCCCTCGAGCCCGCCCCCTCGTTTCGGCGCCCGCAGCAACGGAGTGGGACGCATGCGCACACAGGGAGGGCGGCGCGCGGTGGAGCGAGCGGAAAGATTTGGGCGAGAAAGTGCGCGGGAGCCGGCCGTGGAGTGCGAGCGCGCAAGCGCGGCCGGGGGGGCGGGGGGCGGGGAGCGGGCCGCGACTCCGGAATCTCGGTGAATCCCAGTCGGCGCCGTATTCCTAGCTTACAGCCATGGCCGCCTATCAGCTGGTGCTGATCCGGCACGGGGAGAGCACCTGGAACCTGGAGAACCGCTTCAGCGGCTGGTACGACGCCGACCTGAGCCCCGCGGGGCATGAGGAAGCGAAGCGCGGCGGGCAGGCGCTGCGAGGTATGGAGCAGGCCGGGCTGTGGGGGCTGCGAAGGCCCCGGGTCTTCCGGCTTCGAGGGCTCCAGCGTCCTGGGCTCGGCCAGGGCCAAGCTGCTCGCATTCGCGCTTCTCCCAGAGAAGCGAGACCTTGGGCATCATCTCCCCAGCAGTTTATTTTGCAGTTGAGAAAATGGGCCTAGCGTGGGGAATCGAATTGCTCAAGGTCACCCAGCGGAGTGTGAGGGGGAGCGCCAGGATGAGGACCCAGGGCAGCCACCCCGCAGCCCGTTGCTCTTTCCATGACACCACCTGTGAAATTCTTCATTCTGATCTGAGCATTTAATCATTCGGGGACAGGCCGTTATGGACCCTTCAGGGCCAGAGGCAGGCGGTGAGGCCTTGGGCTCATGGAGGAGGATGCCGGAGTCGTACCGCAGTTGTAACCTCGGGGCGGATGCTGATCCTAGGGGCATTTGGGGGAGTGATGCAGCCCTGGGGAGTGACCTGCTGCAAGATAGCAAGAAAACCGCGTGCTTGTGGAAGGCTTTCTTGTTCAGTAACATTCCGCAAATTGAATGAATGAATGATTGATTTGAATTGATCCTTTCCACAATCTATAGATTTTATTCATCTCCTCGGCCCCTTTGTAGTTGAGTAAAGAGAGTTGGAAAGATGACTTGCCCAAGGTCATATCTTCTTATTCCTAGTCCAGTGCTCTTGCCCCAAGCCTGGAGTTGAGTACCAGATAGGTGTGAGGAACTGGTAGGCTGTTGGCCAAGGGCGCTGGAAAAAGTGGCAGGGAGATAAGCGCTTGCCTACCCGGGCCCCGCCGGCAGACGGCTGTCTGTGATTTTGGACGCCTTCCCTGCTCTTCAGCAATTCAGAGAATCTCTGGGTTGAGGAGGTGATTACCCAGATCCAGCCCTGCTCCCTTCCAACCTCTAGATGAAAAAGCAGCCATTTAAAAGGGCCATTGAGGCCTGGTGGATATGGAACAGGAATTTGGCTCCATGTTGCTCTCCCTAGCTTCTTGCCTTCACAACTGTAGATCCTTTTGAAATGAAACAAAGCTTTGGGAAGTCTGGGAAATGGAATCCTGTTGTGGGGGAGTGTGAATGCACTGGGATGGTCTGGTGTGAGGGATGGTCTGCTGTGACCTCATGCCCTTTAGGAGGCAGGGAAGGGAGAGTGCTGGTAAAGGAGGCCATTTTCTTTAGCAATCTGGTAGGAAGAGCTGTGTGAGTCTGGTGGTTTGGTGATGACTAGCCCAGGACAAAGCAAATTGTAGCTATCCTCTAAAGCTTATCAAATGTTAAACTTGTAATCTCTCTGTAAAATAACAGGCCCTATTTCTGTTTTTAAGTAAATGTTGGTAGCATTACTTTTTAAATAAGATAAAAGCTGATTTAAATTTTTAACATCTATTATAGGCATCACAGATTACACTAAACAATGAGAGACTAAAAGCAAAAACTCTGAAGGATGAAGACCATTATGAACCTAATGACCATATAAAAGGCCAAAATATATTAAATTCATTAGTGTTTTTGTGATAGTAGAGTTTGTAAAATCTTGAATGTGATTTCAGGAGGAAGCCAGTTAAAACTGTTTCCACATGGAACCTTACTGCTGAGAAAGGGGAGATTGCCTGCCGGAGGATGGAGTCCACACCACATGGTCCACTCCTGTCCCTAGGCTATACTTTTGTTTAATGGACAAGTTAAAGGAAGAGGCTTTATGCTACTGATCCTTCAGAGTTTTGTTAAAGAGTCCTAAGGGGAACTGCTTTTCTCCTCGGGGAACCATTTGTTTATCCAAAGTGAGGTGCTCCATTGCAAGTGGGAATAATTGCAATGAAACAGCCGTAGCTTTTCAGCTTGGGAACTGAGGCTTGCACTATGGATATTCACATTCCAGTGACTCAGCCATTTGTTGGGGAGCCATTCCCCCCCTTATGGTTTGGGAGGAGACTGAAGTGGAGTCTGATGAGGCCTTGACCTGAGGCTCAGTCATGAGACCTTTCCCTTGTGAGTGGTGGTAGGAGTCCCTGGTGACTCATTGGTATAGTTCTTGGTCTCATTTCCGTTGAATGAGTGGCAGGAAATTTCACTTCACATTCTATTAATTACTGTTGCCAACCTCAGTATGAGGCAATACCAGGAAAGTTTGTGCTGAGCTTTGAAGAGGGCCTTGTAGGCTCATGGAGGAAAACAGGAATGTTTTCCTGGTCCCACTACATAAGGAAAGGACCATCTCTCTATTAAAGGCTTTTTGGTAGGAGGGAGAATAGTTTTTCATTGAAACATGAAATAAAGCGGTTAATTGTAACCTATTGGTTGGGCCAACATGACTAACTTGATTTCCACCCCCTGCCCCTCAATACTGTGTATAGAGGAGAGATTCATTTATAAATGAATCAGGCAGTCTTAGTGCACATTTGTTCTTTCTCTAATGAGTGGTTTCTTTTAAAGTTGTTTAATAGTTGACCTAAGGTAGGTGTACTCTTTTTTTTTTTAGTATTTTATCATGATTTAGGTGAAAGTTTATACAGCAAATTAGGTTCTCATTTAACAGTTTTTATACAAATTGTTCTGTGACATTGGTTACAATTTCACAATGTGTCAGCATTCTCATTATTTCCATTCTGTTTGTTCTGTTTCCATTGATTTAGCTTCTCTTCCCCTCCCTGCCTTCTCATCTTTGCTTTTGGGTAAATGTTGACAGTTTGGTCTCATATAGTTGATTGTTTAAGGGAGCACATTACTCATGGGTGATATTGTTTATTTTATAAGGTAGTTGTACTCTTAAGGAGCCCTGATGCTGCAGTGGTTAAAGCGATCGACTGCTAACCGAAAAATTGGCGGTTCGAAACCACCAGCGGCTCTGTGGGAGAAAGATGTGGCAGTCTGTTTCTATAGAGATTTACAGCCTTGGAAACCCTATGAGGTTGCTATGAGTCGGAATCAACTTGATGGCAGTGGGTGGGTGGTGTACTCTTGAGGAATAGTCTGTCACTTTGACCATAGCTGAGAGGAACCATGGGATTAAGAGTTTGTGAGGTGATATATACAACCCATACTGAAAATACAATCTTATACAGCAAACCGAAGTGGAGTTATATCAACATCCTCTAAGGGCTCTCGTAGACCAGAAGTCAGAGAGGGCTGAAGGATATTAGTAATTATCTATTAGAAATGACAATTCTAACCAAAATACAAACACCAAGATCCTTGGGAGTTAGAAAATGAGGATAGCTAGAGATGGTGGGTGGGTAAGAGTTGGATTTTGGAGTTATACAGCCTGGGTTTTAATTTCTCATGTAGTAACTGTTACCTTGGATATTTTCTTCATCTGGTAAAATGGGTTATGAGGATTGTAACCTCATAGGATTGATATGAGGACTAAATAAAATAATACATACAAAGTACTTAGCCCAGTGCATGACAGATGGTAAGCCCTCTATAAATGTTAGCTATTATTGTTTATTAACAGATTCTAAGTTTTTAGGATCCTTTACTTAAAAGAATTGAAGCAGAAATAAATTATTAAAATTTGCTTTAGCTCAGCATTCTAGGAATTAAGGGGCACAGATCTCAGGTTTGCTGGTTGACAGTGCATTTAGGCCTGGGTTAGATGAATTACTGGGGGAGCCACTGGGAGATATATTGTCATCTATAACGTAAGTCAATATTCTGTCTTTCCCAAAGGCAGAATATTGTTATTTCCTGCAAGGATATAAAAAATATTTGGCCAAATAATTTTCATTTGGACTACCTGTACGGATTTATTTGTAAGAAAATTCTTGCTCAGAGTAGGCCTGATTAACTTATCACTTCGAATTTATTATTTCCAGATGCTGGCTACGAGTTTGACATCTGCTTCACCTCAGTGCAGAAGAGAGCAATCCGGACCCTCTGGACTGTGCTGGATGCCATTGACCAGATGTGGCTGCCAGTAGTGAGGACTTGGCGCCTCAATGAGCGGCACTACGGGGGTCTGACTGGCCTCAATAAAGCAGAAACTGCTGCCAAGCACGGTGAGGCCCAGGTAAAGATCTGGAGACGCTCCTATGATGTCCCACCACCGCCGATGGAGCCTGACCACCCTTTCTACAGCAACATCAGTAAGGTATGGACAAGCCGAGCTTTGGTTCACTCCAAAGTGAACCAGGATCAGGGGATTAGAATCCGAACCTCACTTTGTTAATTTATTTTTTACAAAGTGTCTGCCTAGTCCCACTGAACTATAATTTATAAAATAGTTCATTCTAGTCTCCCTTCACCCAAGGAATGATCTTCATTTGTTAAAAGATTTAGTTTATAGGTTATGTTGCTTATCTAAGAATTTATATCTCCTTTGCCATATTTTATAAACTCATTCATCGCCTTAGAGCCTTCTTAAGCCAACCCCAAGTTAAAGTGAATTGGGAAGAGCCTTGTTTCATAACGTTTTTGCTTTTCTAAACTACCTTTCTTTTGAACTGTTAATCCTTCCAGTAGTGGGTAATGGGAGAGGGAGGGGTAAGATAATAATCATCCCCTTTCTCAAGCGCCCCCCCCACCCGACCTTCATCCTCACTTTAAGCCCACAGGGCATGAGGAGTGGGCAGAATTGATATAGGCTGAAGCCATTTCACAGGTATAACTGCTAATACTTGGTGAGCCTGACTTTTTTGGTTGTTTAGGATCGCAGGTATGCAGACCTCACTGAAGACCAGCTACCCTCCTGTGAGAGTCTGAAGGACACTATTGCCAGAGCCCTGCCCTTTTGGAATGAAGAAATAGTTCCTCAGATCAAGGAGGGGAAACGGGTGCTGATTGCAGCCCATGGCAACAGCCTTCGGGGCATTGTCAAACATCTGGAGGGTATGTACATTTTTCAGAGGGGCTCTCAAGGAGCGATAAAACAGCTGCCACTCATCAGGGACTTACTTAGTACAAAGACCTTCAGGAAGGGGCTGGACCACATTGATAGCCTTAGCCACAGTCTGGATTAACTCCTACTAGGAATACCCTTTACCCTTCTCAAATCTGTGATCTGCAGAGCAGGAACAGTGCCCCCTACCCCAGCTCATTATACATGCAGAACCTTAGGTCCCAGCCAAGGCCTCCTGATTGAGAATTGGCATTTATCCCCCAGGTGATTGGGATGCATATCAAAGTTTGAGCCACCCAGCTCTAGACTAGGATTGCCAACTGAAACTCCTTAGTCACAATTTTTTTCACAACTTCCTCTATGAATCTCTATTTGCATCTTAAATTGTTTACCCCTGAGGGCCTAGAAGCCAATCTGAGCAGATTTTTGGCAGGCTGAGTGGGATTATATAGAATGTTTGAAATGTATTTAGTCCTGCTTCACTGTGGGTTTCGAGGTCCCAACTTGGTAGACATACCTGGTACACACCTTTCTGTAGTTCGTTGGTAGCCCATCTTAGAACCGTGTATACCCTTTCATACTTTTTTCTTGCTCAATAAGCCATACTTTGTTTCCTTCCTTGGGTGATAAATCTTCTATTACAAAGATCACAACCTGAGTGAAAGGGCGTGTTGTTTTAATTCCTATGAAGAATCTGTCACCTGGGGATAAACAGTAAACCTGGAGAGGTGATGTGCATTCATGCCTTGCTTGGCTGATCTTGGTGGGTGTTTTCAGGTCTCTCTGAAGAGGCTATCATGGAGCTGAACCTGCCCACTGGTATTCCCATGGTCTATGAATTGGACAAGAACTTGAAGCCCATCAAGGCCATGCAGTTCCTGGGGGACGAAGAGACCGTGCGTAAAGCCATGGAAGCTGTGGCTGCCCAGGGCAAGGCCAAGAAGTGAAGGCAAGGAGGCAGACTGCTATTCTAAGGAATGCCCCCCTACCCATCCCATTCCTCTGCACTGCTCCCTGCACGTCACACCAACCACACCTGTAGGCATCTTAAGTTGTAGCTGCATATGGGGGACTGGTGGCTCGCATTTCAGCCATTTTGTCTCCTGCACCCTCTCCTTTCATACAGTCTAATCAGAATGACACATCTCGGACATGGTCCTCAGTCCAGGGCCTAGGGAAGACTTCTCACCCAAGAGAGGTGGCGACTCTATGGTTTTTGCTGGTGGTTTACTAAGGACCTACTTGAATAGGGGATGGGGAGGAAACATGCTAAGTATGACCAATAAGGGGAAGCAAGAGAGCCTATTCCTGTTGCCAGGAGCCAGTGGTCCTGTACTCTTCTGTAGTCAGGTTGCTGTCTGGGGCACTCTAGTCATTCCAGTGGAAGATAAATGTAACCCACATGGTGATTTTTAAAAAAAGCTGTTTTCCTCTCTCACCCCAGAGGAGCTGGCTCCATAAGTTGGGATCAATCCTGATTGTGTATGTGTTGCATTTTGTTTCACAAACAGAAAAAAAAATATATAAATAAGACAAAAACCCTCTGGGGTTTCTTGTGGCAGTTGAAATAATAGTACCACATGTGATCATCAGAAAATAAGTCATTCCTCACACCCTGTGGGATAGGCTCCTTCAGTTCATCCTTCTGTGTATTTTAGAATTCCTCCCCTGCCTTACTGTTTTGTGGCAGTGAAATGCCTATTGATCATGTCCAAATGTGTCTTTTCACTGTGTCTGGCCCTGCCAGTTGGGCCCCGTCCTCAGTTTGAACATAACTGTACTAAATCTTTTTTCCAGATCAGTGTAATAAAGGAGTGATGTGCAATATTGTCCTGTGTGATGTCTAATATCTCATGTCTGAGGGAGCTTGAGCATCCAACTTGAAATGTCCATTACCCAAGTCATTCTTTATGCGACACATTAAGAGCTTTCAGACAACAGGTCCAGTCACAACTTCACACAGCCTGCCCCAAGAATCATGTTTCTTGCTAGGTTTTTACTTTAGGCTGGAAAGCTGGGTTGTGGGAGGTCTCCATCCATGTTGCTCCTCTAGTTCTCTGGATGGTGCTGGTTACCAAATACCCCTTGACTGGAAAGTCAAATCCTGAAACGCCATCATGATCTCTTCAGGGTAGGATAAAGGCTTTTCTGCCAGATCTTTTTTTTTTAACCAGTCCTTTTCTATCAGTCATTTTAAAACTTGATTTGCAACTTTTTGGCCTATAAAATTTTAACCCTGCCAGTAAACTAACATCATAAAAAAATTCTAATCTCAAAATGACTCGCAGGGAGAAAAAGACTAATTACATTATTATCTCATTGGGAAGGGGCATTGGTCACATTTACTTTTTCTAAGGCCTTTGGAAAGATCATCGGAACATGAGAAATCCCATAAGGCAAGAGAAAGAATATTAAACACCGTCTGATAGGAGCAAGTAACACCATCTATTAAGCTCTTAATAAACTTCCCTGTGTCAGCCATTGAGTGAGACACATTATATCTCTTGATCTTGACAAGCACCCCTGAAAGGGCTGGTATCCCCAGTTTACAGAAAAGGAAACTGGCCAAAAGAGCCCTAGAAACTTGCCACAATAGACACTAAGTAATGGAGCCCAGAAGAAGGGCACATTCAACTAAATTAAGGTCCTTATTCTAAAACTTAAAATACTTTTTAAGTATCTTGCTTTTCCAGTTTAGTTTTTCATTTGATCTACACAGTAATCCCAGGAAGACCGGTAATTTTAAGTCTTTAACAGCCTGGTGGGATGTTAGTTTACTTGGCCTGTACTGAATCCTAGACCAGAAGTTGCTCATTTTATTTGACCAAGTATTCTTCAGATCAGATGGGACCACCTTGCTCAGAGGCCACTCAACTCTAGCTGTGGGCAGGAGTAAGGGAGATTGTCAGTAGCAATACTTTAGTCCACCTTCCCTGTCAGAGAGGGGTAGTGTAAGAGCAAAGTCTGTTAAAGGAACCATGTACTTTCCTATCTTCCCATGGTGTTTGCAACCTCTGCTGTAAGGCTCTTGGCTCTTTTTGGTGCTCAGTCTGCAAAAGTGGCTCAGGATTTGCTTTTCATTGCCCTCTGCTGCCACCCAGTGGGGGCAGGGCTATGATCAGCCTTTCCCAGAGTAGGGATATATTAGCAGAAAAAAGGATTGGGGGAAATACAAAAAACCAACCAACCAACCCGTTGCCATTGAGTCAATTCCAACTCATAGTGACTCTATAGGACAGAGTAGAATGGCCCCATAGGGTTTCCAAGGAGCGCCTGGTGGATTCAAACCACCAGCCTTTTGGTTAGCAGCCATAGCACTTAACTACTATGACACCAGGGTTTCCAGGGGGAAACAGGATGGAACCAAAATGTATTGAGTGCCAACTTTTTGCCAGCTACTCAAATGTATGTCTTCTGACATCACTTGAAGGTAGGTGTTTTTATCCCAATTTTTACAGGTGAGTAAATAGGCTTGTGGGTGAGGTTAAATGACTTGTCTAAGGTTTCACAAGGATTATGTAGTACAGAGTGTTTCAAACTCAGGTCCTACTGACTCCGAGTCCGCATACACCTACGGCCAGATGCCATGTTCCATGGCTTCAGGTCTACTGAGATGAAGAGCCAGTGGCCAGCCCACTGACAGCTGAATAGAGCTATTCAGTCTGGCTGACTGGCTCCAAGGAATGGGGAAGGGACCATGGCAACCAGGCTGGACTCCACTGCTTAGGAATGAGGGATTAAGGAGACATATCCCTCCTTGGGCAGTGGATGCAGTCAGAAGAAAGCTCTACCAGTTCAAACGACAAATTCCTCAAACGCAGAGGGCTAGGTCAGCAAGTGCCATTCTGTGGCGGAAGAGTAAGAAGGTGTGACTTGAAGCCAGCTCTCTGGAGGAAATCTTCTGCCAAATAACCCACAGTGTCATTTGCTGGGAGCTAGCTTTCTGATAAAATTAAAGTGCTTTTCTGTAGGGCAGCAAAAGCAGCCAACTGAAAATGTAATCAATTTTAATTGTAATGAGGTTAGACAGTATTGGTGAAATGAAGAAAGGAGATACTGTCATGAATAGTGTAAGTGGAGACAGGGAATCTAAAACAAAGAGAGCTGTTGGAGAAAGCTTATCCACTTACCCAGCTCCATGAGGCAGGGAGACTCTGGAGCTAGCAAAAATTCTGGCCCCTAGAAACACACATTGTACAGTAAGGCAGGTGGAAGCTCTACCATAGGTCCCATGACAGAACCCTCAATCCATCTACCTCACTTATGGTTTATTCCCTTATGTTCTTACCTTTTTCAAAAGCCTACCTGAGCAAAAGTTCTTTCGAGTTCTATGATACTATGAAGGTAATGTCTTAATGAAAAAAGAATATTCCTCACTGGGAATCAATTTAAATGCGTATTCTGGCTTAGCAGCCAGTCTTTTGTGAATTAAGGAAGAGTGAACTGATGCTACAAAATCTGATTATCTCCAAGCATACATTTTCACTGAAGTGTGGCAAACTGAGATGACTAAATTTGGGAGGTCTGGGCAAGAAGCACTCAAGGAATAACCTTATAAGGGAAAGGGAAGTGGCACCACCAACTCTTGCTCAAATGTTGCCCCTAAATCCTACCCACTGCACTGGGACGCTCACCAGTGCCTCACTTACCTAGTAGGCTCCTCTTCTGGCCCCAGGCTTCTCTCTCCAGGGTCAGTCTTACCCTGGGGAATTTGGTAAGATCAAGTTCCTGAGTGAACAAATAGAGGACTGGATTCTAGAAGCAACTGTTCCTGTTTCCCAGTTCTCATGAGGCCAAGCTATCCTCATTTCCTGTCCTGACATCCTATCTGATCCTATTAACTCTATATCATTACATCACTTGAGCATGCATCAGTCTCCATTTCTTGCAACTTAAAGGGCCCTGACTAGAATTCCTGCCTTCAAGACAGGAAACAAACACAAAGCCAGCAACACCTACCATTACCGCTAGGAGACAAATTACTATACCTCCAAGGCAGTGCCTCTTAACCAGGGTGGCACATCAGAATCACCTGTGGAGCTTAAAAAAAACAGATACCTGCTCTGGGTTCACCCCATGAGATTCTGGGGGAGGGCTAGGGCACCTGCATTTCTTTTTTTCTAAAGCTTTATAGGCAATTCTAAAGGGTACCTAACCCAGGCTGAGAACCACCATTCCAAGGCACAGAAAGAACAGTCTCCTTCTTATTCTCTAGACTCACTTTCAGATTAGAGATCTCACTCCATCACTCAGTGTTCTCTAACACTTTTTGAGCACTACTGTTTAATCAGCTGTGAACACACCCAACACAATTTTAATTGGGGATTCAAAGATAGATAACCCAGAATCCTGCCCTTGGAGAGCTCAGGCTAGGAGAGACAAGCACATAACTAGCTAACTTATAATATAATATTGGATGGGCAAGGGTAAGACATCTAACCTGGCCCACAGCGGATAAGGGAAGGCTATTATCCAGTTGTTTCAAATGCTTTTTAGAAACAGGGTGATATATAAACAAGTAAAAAGTAAAATTAGCATCACCCAACCTCCATTTCTCCATCCTGACCAAAATGATATTATAACTGAAATCAACTGCAGCAAAACCTGAGAAAGCCAGGAGCTGTGTAAGGCAGAAACCTGTCAGAGAAGGAAAACTCAAATATTTTCCACTAATAGAGAGCAACAGAAAAGTGGTAAGACTGCACCCTGTATAAGGCGGAAAACTTCCAAGAACCAGGTAAATAAGGCAGTCCCGTTGAGTTCTGGCTCTCACAGGTTTCACTGTATATACTATAACTAGAAACTCCAACAACTTGAGAATTAAGCTGAGCTGAGCACAACTAGTTCCTAGTGAAAACCAATCTCATTCCATTTTTGGTTATCTTTAGTACTGGCACTAGGGAAAAGACACAAAGATAATTATCCTGATTCTAATAAAGCATTAGATAACAACCCAGGTTAGACTATACTACCTTTTTATTACTGTCTGAAATGATAACATTTCTGTATTTGTTTACTTATCATATGTCTTCCTCCACTAGGATGTCAGCTCCACGAGGACCGGATTCTATCTCATTCACTGCTGTACCTAACTCTAGCTCCTGGAAGAGTGGCAAGCAGAGTAGTTACTCAGTATATATTTATCAAATGAATGAATGTCATCCAAAAAGCACTCATGATTAAGGAACCAGTGTCAATTTGGAGAGACCCTGCATGCCCAAGGTTCTATTCAGTAATCGGCATAAAGGAGATACCATGGCACAGGAGAGAGAGCGTGGGCTTTACAGTAAGACAGACCTGGGTCTGAGTACTGCTCTGCCACTTGATGGATGTGTGACTTGGGCCAAGTTAATTAATATCTCTAAGCTTTAGTTTCCATCTGTGTAATGATTGAAATGATTGCTATGTTTCAGGTTCACGGTGAGGTTCAGAGACAATGTAAACGGTTAACACTGTTGCTGAGAGAATCAAATGGTAGCACCTTTCTGGAAGGCAATAAGGAAAAACGTAATACAAAATTAAAATGTGTATACTCTTTGACCCAGAATTCCACTTCTAGGAACTGATTTTGCAAAAGAACTATAGGCATGAACAAAAATGGATGGTATAGGGGTTTCTCTGCAGCTTTGTCTGTAACAGAAAAAAATTGTAAAGTTTTTTAAATGCCTATCAATACAGGACTGATTCAAAAAACTACATGAAAGTGTCTAGCATAAGGCTTGGCATTTAGTAGACACTTGGTAGAAGGTAGTCAGATATAGAATAATAACAATAATACTAGCACATGCTAGTCATGTACTTCTTCCTCACAGTAATCCTATGAGGTAGGTCATATGATTCCAGATGAGGAAACAGACTTAAAGAGAGAAAAATAACTTGCTCAAGTATCAATGTCAACATCTTGGTTGTAATATTTTTATACTAAAATTTTGCAAAACATCACCATTGGGGCAAACTGGGCAAAGTGTGTAAGGACTCTCTCTGTATTATTTCTTACAACTGCATGTGGATCTACAATTATCTCAATAAAAACTTCAATTAAAATAAAATATTAAGTGAGGCAATGTATATAAAGTGCTTGACCCAATGCCTACCACACAGTAAGAACTCAATAAGCTCAGGCTCAAAACCAAACACAAAAAATACAAAGAAGTTTGGAGATCAGGCTTTGTCCAGAGAAAGCAAGCACTTGATACATGTCAGTTAATGAGTGACTGCTGGCAAACTCCTGCTCTAAGTGTCATGATGCCATTTAGATTCCTTTCCCTGCTCAAGACAACAGAAACTATAAAATCCTTTTAATAAAAATGTTTTGTCACAGCAAAAAATACATATTTATAAGGACAATCAGGAGAAAGAAGCTGTTTCCAACATTACACAGTTTGTTTTCTGGTGCCTCTAAAAGAGAAGTTTCATCACTCAAGAGAACGGAACCCACCAAAAGGTTCATAAGAAAAATGTTTCACTTACAGAGTAAGTTTCTGGCAGATTTTTCTAGAGGTGGTAGCTGGCTGACCCCAGATGTCTGAATAAAGACAATGGCATCTTGATGCTACTTTCATGCAGATACTTTTGGAATCTGATTACCCGCTCTGTGAGGAAAATGTGGCTTCTTAGGTCTGCAAGAATTCAGGCTGTACTCGTGCCACTTTCCGGAATTCTTTAGTGTGGGTTTTAGGGCACTGCATCTCACACCAGCTGATGGGAACCATCTGGACACCTGGAAGGGAAAAGCTGCTGCTGGAGCTAGGACCCCCAGATATTTGCCTGAGACCCTTCTCTTTCAGCTGGGTATGATACTTGGCAGAAATGTCCCCAAGCTACCTAGTAAACTTCACCTCACACAGAAAAAACCTTGTTTATTCCACCAACTTATGGAATGAGCCCCGTTTCCTTAGATTTACATAAGGAGAATCATTCCCTCTACCCCCATACTGTTTTCTAGATAATTATAATCAAGGGAAATGAGGGGAAAAATGGATTAGTCCCAAACCAACGCATGGCTCCCAGGCAAGTTCACGTGGAAGCATGAAGAACTCACCTGACTCACTGTGGGCCACCACCACACCGAGCTCGTTTTCAGCAGTGGTCAGCAGGTAGTTGGACTGTGCATCACCCAGAGAGATCTAGTGACATAACAGTGGTGAAGGAAAATGAGGGGATAAGTCTTCCTCCCCTATAGCTACTTGAGTTGTTTCTCTACTTTGACAAAGGACTAGAAGTCTGCTAGAATAAAGGATACCACTTTGGCCAAGACAATGTCACCTGGGCGGAAACTCTTATAAATTTCAACCTGTGAGGAAAGAACAGAAATGTCAAGTGAAAGCTCTTGTTCAGGTGTACAAGAAACTACTAATCCTTCCGGGTGGAGCCAATCTATTTTCTAATTCCAAAGAATGGAGGCCATCACTACTCAAGTCAACTTTATTGCTCCTATAGCATTATCATATAAATGGAATATTTTGAATTCAGTAACCTGATCAGGACTCGGTCTCAGACGAAAGGTACTATAGTTGGCTCTGAAAGAGTCCAGAGTAAATCTGAGGGAAGAGCAATGAATAAATACCTGGCTTCAAAGACAAAGAACAAAACAGTTTCTATCTGGTCAACGGGGTGAGCAAAAGTTACAGAGAAAGGAAAGGGACAATGAGGTGAATTTCATACTTTATGGCAAGAGAATTAAACTTCCTTGTACTCTGCATTCCTGTGGATCTTTGAAGTTCATTAGGATAGTAACTTAAAACAAGTGAAATTCCTAAAGCCATGGGGTTGCGGGGAATGAACCAACCAACCTTGTCTTTTTCAGTAGCTCGGACATCTTCTTTGCTATAGGGGAAAAAAAATTAACAGAAAGATTAATTATCTTTGAGAAGAGCTACAAGAGTAGATCGAACAAGTCACAACTGGGATCTAGCTGTCACCCAGAGGAGCAGAGTGGAGAAGTGTCTCCAGTTCTCACTGGGAGAGGAAAACATTTTCCTATTCTAAGACCACAAAGAGCAGCAAGATTTATACTTCTAACTAGAGAAAAACAGATCAGATTTGGCAGGAAAGAATAGGAAATTCTGCTGAGAATTCTCAGTTCATGAGAATCTGAACAGAAGCACTACAGAATCACATAGAATCCTGAGGCTGGAAAGGGTTTCAGAATTATCTGGTTCGCAAGAACTGTTTGCTCTTTCTTAAAGAACCCCCGAGAGAGGAAAAATCTACCATTTCACCCAAAAACCTTTTCAATGTTACAACCCTTGGGTTTAATCTAAATTAAATTCAAGAAAAGGAGGTACTTCCTAAAACGCCTTCTACTTTGTTTGGTATGAATCACTCCAGTGCTGCTGATCTTCAGCTTTGCTCAAATCTTTTTGGTTTATTTTTAAACCCTCTCCTATTAATATTTTTCTTTTGTCCTAGCTCAGATGTTACAACATTTTCTTTGGCACTACTGGGAGAGAATCATAGCACAAAGAGGAAATAGAAATAGGCAGGTGTAGGAACTGTAATTGTTCCTAAAATTCCAATCTCCTCTTCTATCCTAATCTCATTCCAGGTGCTGAGGCCAATGTGAAGACAAGGATACTTCCTACCGGATAGTTCCTCGAAAAGAGTTCTTAAGTGGCGTGGACCCCACATAAAGGATGTGTACTTTGGCAAAGCGCGAATTGATGCTAGAGACCTGTAGAACAGAGAAAGGAGCAGCATCAGAGAATTAGCAGTTGTCAGCTCAAGAAGACAGCAATAAACCAGGAATTACAAGACTTTAAGTCCAAGCAACGCTACTAAGTATGTAACTTAAGTCCTATTTATCTTTGCACAAGTGCTATCTGTAAAGTGGAATACGAACCATTCTGGCCATCTGACAGTGTTGCTGTGAGAATCAAATGAGATAATGTAGTATAAACTTTGAAAAGTATAGAAGTTTAACATAAATCGACATAGGGCATTATAGCAAATCTAGACCTTTAACAGATCTTACTAAGAGGCCCATACAGTGGAGGGAACTTAAGTCTATACTTCTGCTGCTGTGTAATATTTCAATCACTCTCTCGGCTATTTTTAGAATAACAGATTTTCTGTTGGAGTAATTTATAAAGAGAAACTAACTGACAGCTACAAGAGAGTTTAACCTAGCAAAGGATGGGGATGGGTAGGGAGTACCGGTATGTCACAGAATTCATTTGTACTTCTCCTGAAATGTCCTAAGATTTTACATTTACCAGGAATGCTAGCGACTAGACTACACTTTTGCCTCTCTTCAGAAAAAGGTCTCAGCTTCAGATGTTCAAAAATGGACCTCCGTTTCGTGGCCCTGTTTCTCAGACACAGGTAGAAACTATATACTCAGGGATCAGCTCAGAGAACGAACTGCATGTGCCTGAAGTTGACTGCATTGATCTTTGTCCCAGAAACATCTACTACAGCACAGTTCAATAAAACTTTCTGTGATGACAGAAATGCTGTGTTGGCCAATACGGCAGCCACTAGCCACACATGGCTACAGAACACTTGAAATATGGCTTGTGTGACTGAGGAACTAAATTTAATTTAAATTTATTTAAATAGCCATATGTGGCTAGTGGCTACTGTACTGAACAGCACAGCTCTAGAATGATTATCATTTCAGCATTGGACAAGTGTCCTAAGGAGGGAGGTTAGGACCAACTTACCTTACAGGTTACAATAGCCCCCACATCTGGCAGCAGTTGAGATTCTGTCTCTCTCATCACAGACACCACAGGAAGCTACAGAGAGAACAAAAATGGGAATCCTGGCTAAGACTTGGGTAAAGGTATTTGTGGCTTGAGACTAAAGGAATCCCTTGGTCCACAGTTGAGGTCACAAGGGCAGGTTTACTATGAATCGATTTATAGCCTAGCCTAGGAAATGGGATGACCAAGGGGTCATGGGAAGAATGCTGCCAGAAAACATAATTTAACCATTCCAAATTAGTTCTAGTAAGTTTTTTTGGTGATTCTCTTGGATTTTCTAGGTATACAACCATATTGCCCATAATTACTGATGATATGACTCCTCCAAAATTTTATTGCTTCTTTCTGTTTACCAAACAGGTTAGATTTCCAAATCAATGTTATTTAATACTGGCCATACTTGCTTTCTTTTATTTTAAGGGAATACTTTTAGAGTTTTCTCTTTGAGCATGGTATTGGCAGTTGGTGTAAGACAGATATTTTTGAGCCTCATTTTTTATCCATCTCTCCCTTGCTATACTTCAGCTCTCCTGGCCTTCTTTCAGTTTCTCCAACTCACTAAATTTCTTTTCATCACAGGATCTCTGTTCAATCTATTCTTTCTGTCAGTACTGTGCTCTACGATCCATCCAACTCTCACGTACACTTCAGGTTCAGCTTAAGTGTCACTTCTGTTGACTAAGGTGGGTTTGTCTGTTATAGGTTCTCATGGTACTCTGTAATATTCTTTGAAAGCACTCATCATACTTGTAGCCATATACTCATTTGGGCATTTATTTGTTTACGATTGTGTTTCCACCCCTTGATAGCAGAGATTACCTGTACTGGGTTCGTTACTAGACCCTCAGAGGTTAGCACTGTGCCTGGCACATGAAAATGCTAAACAGACATCTATGAACAAACTTAGGAATGTTAAGAATATTTCCACAACTGATTGAATAAAAAGCCCCTCATTTTACAGATGAGGAAGAATCTAAAGCCAGAGAGTTTAAAATTCTTAACCAAGGCAGAATCAAGCTCTAGTGAGTCAGTACCTACATGTTATAATTCTGAATCCTCTTTCTACTATGCTACTTGTCTTAAGCTGCTCCTTCAAAGATTGCTTAGCTGATCCTGAGCTAATCCTAGATCAGCCTCTGGACTAGAGAGGATATTATTGTTACATGCTGTCAAGTCGGTTCCAACTCATAGCAGCCCTATGTATAACAGAATGAAACACTGCCCTGTCCTGCGCCATTCTCACAATTGTTGTTATGTTTGAGCCCATTGTTACAGCCACTGTGTCAATCCATCTCATTGAGGGTCTTCTTCTTTTTCGCTGATCCTCTACTTTACCAAGCATGATGTCCTTCTCCAGGGACTGGTCCCTCCTGATAACACGTCCAAAGTACATGAGACAAAGTCTCACCATCCTTGCTTCCGAGGAACATTCTGGCAGTACTTTTTCTAAGACAGACTTGTTCATTCTAGCAGTCTATGTATATTCAATATTCTTCACCAACACATTAATTCAAAGGTGTCAATTCTTCTTTGGTCTTTCTTATTCACTGTTCAGCTTTCGAATGCATATGAGGTGATGGAAAATACCATGGTTTGGGTCAGGGAGGATAGTACTACTCATTCATTCAACAAATATCTATTGAATATCTATCCTGTGCTAAGTGCTGAAGGAACAATGGTGAGGTCTGCTTTCCCAGAACTTAAGAGTCTAGGGGGGAACAAATAGCCGAGTGTTTGATTATAGGCTGAGATGAGTGCTTGGAAGGAAAGGAATATAGTTCTTTCAGAGTGTCTAACAAAATAAAGAAAGAAGACACAAAACCCCTTTCCTCAACTAGTGGGCTCAGGAGGTCTTCTTTGAGATGATTCTAGAGAGACTAGTAGGATATGTAGGTAGGGTAGGAGAAGTTAAACTAGGCTAAGGGGAATAGGTACGAAAGAGGATAGGTGTTAACTAGGCTAAGAGGGAGAGGATTGTGTTCCGGATTGGTGGCACATGTACAAACGCTCTGTGGCAGGAGAGAGTTTTATGCTTTAGCGAACACTGAAAGAAGCCAGTATGACAAGACTGCAAAGAGTAAGCTGGAGAGAGTGAAGCGAGATGTAGCCAGAGAAAAAGGCAACACTCAGTATTCGGCTCACGCCTGGGCTGGGTTACTCTCAGCTCACCTCACTTCTCCCCAGCCCCGCTCCCCGAGTGGCAGCAGCACAAAGCGAGATCACCACAACTGGTCGGGGGTGGCTAGGTGCACAGCAGCGAAGATCACAGCCGGAAGAAATTTAGAGACCAAGTTTTTCTATTGGTGAGGCAATAAAGACACATTCTCAGCATCCCTGCCTAAGAGCCGAGAAATTAAGGGCAGCCTAAGAGAAAGAGGCCGAGGGGATGGGAAGCCGTCGCCTTTACCGCGCCGTTCTCGCTGCTCTTCGTCAGACAGCCGGCAAGCGACGAGAAGATGTACCCGTGCCGGGTGTAGGTGCCGCTGCCCGGGCTGCCCTCCTCCAAGTTACACAGACGTTCGCCTGCAGAAGAAACGCCGCGTCAGCCGCGGGCCCCCAGAAACTGTTGGCCGTCCAGCATTCCTGCCTCTGTCCCTATCCAAGACTCCGCAGACGGCTCACTTACCAGGTATGCAGTACCTCACGGGGGGCGCCATGAGTGCCGCTGTCCCAGAACCCGGATGAAAACGAAGCCGACTTCTTATTGGCCAAATCCAGGCGCGGTTCCTCAGTAACAAGCGCGCCAATTGGTAAGTGTCATCACGTGATGCCTGCCCCCACTCCCAACCCCGAGAGACAAACTTCATTTCCCAGGTTGTCCCGAGACAGGTTCAGGGGCGGAGCTCCGGGGTTCCTGCTCTTGCGCTTGCGCCTATGGTCGAGGATGGGCTGGCAGTGGGTCCGGGTCCCCCGGCTGGTCCTGCGGCCGGCGGGCCACGCTGGGTCGAATTAAGCCGGGCGGGCCGGGGCGCCGAGCTGGAGGGGCTAGCAGTGAACGGCGGCGGAGGCTGCGGGACTCGATTTAGTTAATTGGAGAGGCGGCAGGTAAGAGCGAAGCCTCGGCTCTTGCTCCCCATTCTAGTCCCTTTTTCTAGGGTCAGGCCCTTTCCCGGAGCCCTGTGGAGAGCCAGGATTCCTGCTTTCTCTTTGCTCCGCCCGGCCTAGCGCACCCTCCCGACAGCCGTAACGAGCGGAGCGGGAAGGCCAACCAACCCAACTCGCCCATTTCATGGATTTGGAAACTCAAATCCAGAGACAGGATTTTACTTGTTTAAAGTCTCGGAGATAGTTCAAGGTGGAGCCCATATCGGAGTTTTTTGACTTTCAGCCCATCGCACTTTAACCACGCCGTCCTCCTTGAGAAATAAAACTTCTTCCCTGTTCCTGTAACTGCAGCTTCCGATCCTGTAGTCGGATGCGCTCAAGCGGAGCTCTGGTCGTGTGGGCCCGTCCTGGGCTTCTGATATTGCCACTCTTTTTTCTTCCCAGCATGTTAGTTCGGAAGTGAAGTCATGCACATGAATGAAATGCTGCCCTTTACTGATGCCTGAGATCTACTACTTGAGATTGCAGACATCCTGAGAAGCAGCATCTTTGTTCAGATGAGATTTGCCATGACTTTCATGTTTCCTCTGCCTGCTGGTGGCTTCGGAATCTATCCCTCCCTGTCTACTTCCCACCCTCCATTCCGGGTTCCCTATGGGGCATATGGGGATTTAGTGCCTTGGGAAGAAGGGATTTTCCCTTGAGTGCTGTGGCCTACAATCCCCTAATTGGCTGGCAGATGTCATTATGGCCTGCGGCTACTACTGAGGGGTCAGAGTGCTCAGGGCTTGTTCTTGGGGTTATAGTGAAACTATGTTTTGCACTATTTCCTCACCTGTTCACTCTGAAATCGCCTCTCTCCCATTTTTTTGAGTTCTGCCATACCTTTATTTCCTGAGATGACAACTCTGTATGCTTAGTTGTGGCCCATGGACTATATACACATCTCTTCCCTGGCATCCCCTCCCCACTAGCTAAAACTGGGGGGCTCTGGCTTCATACTTGGTCACTCAATTCTGCTCTGTAGCTCTGCATAATACAAGCTTTATGTTACAAGTTTGAGTTGGTTTCAGGTGGGACTTGTTTTCTAAATGTCTAGCTCTTTAAGTAGTATGATTCTAATAACGGTTTCTGTTTCTCTTTGATCAACAAGAATGATAATGGCAGACAATTATTTAATGTTAGGAGTGTCCTTGCTGGTATTTATAGGACAGATAGACATCTGACCAGCCTTTCCACTTCTGCATCCCTCAACCAGGTGTTCCAGGTCATTTATTCATTCATGTATTTATTGAGCACTTCTTATGAGCCAGGTATTATTGTGCTAAGCACTTTATAAACATTTCACTTATACCTTACCAAGTATACATACAGAATCACAAAGGGTTAGAGCTGGAAAGGACCTTAGCATTTAATCCTACCCCCTCATTGTATGGGAACACAAGGAGATTGAGGCCCAGCAGGATTCAGTGATTCGCCCAAGATCACAAAACTACTTAAGGGCAGAGCTGAACTCTTAAGTAGCCAGGGTATGGGCAGATGAGAGTTGGTAAATCAAGTTTCTGAAGCAGGCATTTCGTGTGCAGCTTACGAATTCAGGAGGTGGGTGAGAACAATGGGAAAAATCAAGAATCTGAGAAGGAGGATATTTTTTATTGATTAGGAGAGTTGACTGTGCGGTGGCATATAATTTACATTTTTCACAAGGAATGCAACTGATTTGCAACTATTGCTATAAAAAGTATTTTAGCAAATCGGCAACTCTCCATTAACCATAGTAAGGGAATGAGTAGTGGTGTGGACAGTCCAAAAGCCACCTGGATTTGTTGTGGGGTAATCTGTTTTGTCACACTCTCATTTGATGTGGCTGTCCACTATTTCGAAAATTCATGCTTCAAGACAAATCAGGATCCCAAACAATAGGAGTCCAACTTAAAGGAGGTGGGAAGTTGTATTTTTTCTTTTCTACCCTCACCACATGCCTTCTCCTAGTTTCCTAGGAGGTGATGGGAATGGCCCATTCCTTTATCTGGATGCAGAGTGTGGGTCCCTGTGGAATTGTCTTTCTTCTCTTTTCTGTAAGCCATGTCTGCTGGGTTTTTGTTTGCCTTAGGCAGTTACAGGGCTTGTGGAAGGAGGTAATTAAGTGTTTTCTTTGAAAGGCCTTTTGTGGGGATGAGCCAGGGTGCAAGGAGAGTACATTGCTCCAGTTACTGAATTGAAACCTCCCTAGAGTGGAGCAGCCTCCTCCAGTTTCTGCTGAGTTTTGAGCTGCCTGTTAAATAAGTCAGTGGAGTTGCTGAGGATAAAACAGCCTTCCGTGGCCATCCTAGGGGAAAATCAGATAATTTCTGATAAAGGACCTTAATCTGCAGAATTGATGAGAGGAATCTGTTAGAGCATCTCTATCTTCTGTTCTGGGCACTGCCTGGGCAGCCGACCTCCTTCCATTATTGTTGAAGTAAACACAGCATAGAGGAGATGGAGGTACTTGAAGAGGTGCTGTGGAAAGAGCTAAAGAGCTGGGAAGGCTGGCTGGGAAGCTTGGGTCCAAGGGCAGCAGGGAGGCCCCCTCCCACTGCTGGTATCTCTTGCCTGTGGTGTTACTCTGCTCTGGATACTTCAAGTTGTGTTGGTTTCTATATTCTTGGGATGGGGCTGGGACTGGAACTGGAGACAAGGCATCTTCTGTCATGCAGGGAGCAGCTGAGCTGTCCTGAGGGGACAGGGACTCTCATGCTGCCATGTTGGGTCTGCTGGCCTGTAAAGTCAGCCCTGAGCTGAGCTGGTGGGGAGGAGGCGTATCTTTTGCCAAGAGTCAAATAGCATCAAGGAAGATCTACGTGCAAGGTCCACATGCCATGCACTCACTCCTCCACTTAGAGGAGCCAGCGTTCCTTAACCTAACCTAACCCGTTGCTGTCGAGTCCATTCTGACTCTTAGTGACCCTACAGGACAGGGTAGAACTGTCCCACAGGGTTTCCAAGGAGCACCTGGTGAAGTCGAACTGCCGACCTTTTGGTTAGCAGCTGTACCACTTAACCACTACACCACCAGGGTTTCCAGCTGTTCCCTAGGAAGAACAATTGTTAGGTGGTAGACTGATGAGCCAGGGCAGGCAGGAGACCCACACTCCATCCAGCGGTCTATCTATATAGATAACTCCAAGGACCCTGCTTGAGCTTGGAGCCGCCTGCCTCTCCTTCACTCCTTTACCATGGCCCTTGTCTTAGTTATCTAGTGCTGCTATGACAGAAATACTACCAAGTGGGGGACTTTAACAAACAAATTAAGTTTTTCACAGTTTAGGAGGCTATAAGTCCAAATTGTGGGCACTGGCTCTCGGGGAAGGCTTTCTCTCCGTTGGCCCTGGGGGAAGGTCCTTGTTCCTTGGTGAACTTCATGTGGTGTGGCATCTGTCTCACCCCGTCTCTCCTTGTGCTTCTCTATGCCTAATCTGCTCTTATAGATCTCAAGACTGATTTAAGGCACACCCTATACTAACATGTCTAATTATCATAACAAACAAAACCCATTCCCAAATGGGATTCTAACTACAGGTTGGGATTTACAACACATATTTTTGGGGGACACTTCAATCTATAACAACCCTGTACTGTAGATGTTCATCACCTCAGATTTGGTGTGCACCCACCTGGTGTAATGTATATAGGATTTTGTAGGCTTAGAACCTGCAGTCCTCTCATGTAACTTGGTTGGGACATTGGCACTGCATATTCCAGAGAGAGATGAAGTGACCTTCCTACTTCACACAGTTTGTGACTGGCCTAGCTGGGTCTCAGTCTTAGGTCTTTGTCCTCTAAACTGGTGCTCTGGGCCTCCCTGCTGGTAGGGTTAGGGAGGGACAGGAACCATGCTGGATCCTCACAATGGTGTGCTCTTCTAGGAGCCATGCGGGGCCAGCGGAGCCTGCTGCTAGGCCCAGCCCGCCTCTGCCTGCGCCTGCTTCTGCTCCTGGGCTATAGGCGCCGCTGCCCACCTCTGCTCCGGGGCCTGGTACAGCGCTGGCGCTATGGCAAGGTCTGCCTACGCTCTCTGCTCTACAACTCCTTTGGGGGCGTTGACACGGCTGTTGATGCTGCCTTTGAGCCTGTCTACTGGCTGGTGGACAACGTGATCCGCTGGTTCGGGGTGGTGAGTGACCTCCGGGGGCTGGGAAAAGGATGTTTTGGGGTAGGAGAGGGACATGTTTTAGAGGCCAGCCCCTATCCTTTGAGGAAATTCTTGAATCTGCTTGGGTGTTGGCAAGGATCTCTTGCTGGGTCTACCTGACCCACACTTTCAGACCTCACTGGTGTTGGCAGGTGTTCGTGGTGCTGGTGATCGTGCTGACTGGCTCCATCGTGGCCATCGCCTACCTATGTGTCCTGCCCCTCATTCTCCAAACCTACTCAGTGCCACGACTCTGCTGGCATTTCTTCTATAGTCACTGGAATCTGATCCTCATCGTCTTCCATTACTACCAGGCCATCACCACTCCGCCTGGATACCCACCCCAGGTGGGTCCCCATAGGGTTATGGGGGAGGGGGAGTCACAGGCTGTGGAAGCCAGTCCCAGGAGTGGGGAAGGAGGGTGTCTTGGCATCTTTTGAGGTGCAAGATTGGTGCTGCCATAGCTGTCATGATGCTTTTCTCCCTTTGCACAGGGTAGGAATGACATCGCAACTGTCTCTATCTGTAAGAAGTGCATTTATCCCAAGCCAGCCCGAACACACCACTGCAGCATCTGCAATAGGTGGGTCTTGGCTTTGCCCTCTGTGAACCCCAGCTGTGGCCCTTTTGCTGTAGCCCTTTGGCAAAACCTAGACCTGGAATTTAATTAAGACTTTTATGTTATGATGCACCTGCCATGTACCAGACACTGTCCTGTCTATATCATGATACCTAGTCCTCAGAATGGTCCTGAGTTAGGTGTTATTGTCACTTGTAGAAACCGCAGTTTTAGAGAGAGAAGTTACCTTGCCCAGTATCATATAGCCAATAAACAGCTGGGTTTGAAGTAAGGCCTGGCTGTCTTCACAGTCTGCCCTTTCCACCTCGGCAGGATACTGGTCCTTATAGGAAAGGACTGGCACTGACATCTCAAGAACCTTGGCCACTGTAACAGAGCCTGTGTCCCTCCCTCACAGGTGTGTGCTGAAGATGGATCATCACTGCCGTATCCTTTTGCTATCTCTTCTGCCTGAGGCCATTTTTTGGCTCCAGAACACTGCACAGGGTTAATGGCCAGAAACCCAAGGCTTCTAGCATCACCTTGGAGAGAGCACTGGGCTCACAAGAAATTCGCAGAAGAGTAGATGTTGGGGCTTACCATCTCCTCGGGGGGAGCAGAAGGCTGACAGCCTCTGTGGGACGCATCTTCTTGGAGCAAGGATTTATTCCAGCAGCTCTTTTCTCCTGTAGACTGTCAATGCTGACAGCTACTGGATGGGTGCAGGAGAAGCTCATGCAGTAGGAAAGAGATGTTTGGGCTTCTTTGGCTATCCCCTGGGTGTGCCAGATGGAACCATTGGTCCCCTTCTGCTGTCCCATACAGATATCTAGTTGCCCCCAGCTAGGCTGAGGTACTGGCACAGATTCACTGAAGGATTTTAGTTCTCCTGCTTTCCTAGTGGGGCTTGTGAAGGCTCTGAAAAGCTTAGAATGCTTCACCTCAACCCCTGGAAATGGCCCCATGTTTTCCTGCCTTTAGGAAAATAATTCCTGGTGCCTGGAATCCTTGGGCTTGGGTGATGCCACCATGAATCAAGAATGAACCAGAGAGGCCTGGCCACCCCTTGAAGTTGTTTGATCTTATCCTTAATCCTTTTCCACCAGCCTGGCTAAACAACTGTGTGGGCCACTACAACCATCGGTACTTTTTCTCATTCTGCTTTTTCATGACTCTGGGCTGTATCTACTGCAGCTACGGAAGCTGGGACCTTTTCCGGGAGGCTTATGCTGCCATTGAGGTGAGTCCATGGTTAGAAGCCGGGCAGCTCAGTAGAACAGAACTTTGGGGTGTAGAATCTGTCCCTAAAGAGTGGGGCTGGTAGCACTCCATCCTAGAGGCCTGAGAGTATAACAGCACTATTTTCAATCCCCTTAGAAAATGAAACAGCTCGACAAGAACAAACAACAGGCGGTTGTCAACCAGGTGGGCCGTCCCCACCCCACTGCCTCCTGCTGCTCAGGCCTGGGGGTAGAGAGTTGCTGAGGCAGCTGGGGCTGGGCCTACTAGTTTAGTTATGGAGGCTGCTTGAGGGGCAACTATAGACTGGATAGGGGGTGTTTTGGGAGGCTACGTTCAGTGGCTTGGGGACAAGCTGGAATGTCCCTAGTATGTGAGTGTTATTATCCCATTATCACCTCCTCTTTGGGGCTGAGCAAGGACTCTGCTGTGGTGATGGCCTGAGCAGCAAGGAGTCTGTGAGTCTGTGTAATGGGGCTCCAGGGGTTAGAGAGCTCCCTGGGCTAGATGGGTCATCCTTTGCTCCTGGTCTATCTGCATCCACATCAGGATCATCCCTTCCCCTCATGTCTTTTAGGACTCTATTCTGAGTAGATCTTGGGCTCATATGATTGTACCTCGGGTGCCCCTTCAGGTGCTCACATTTCGCCCCCTTCCAGTCAGTCCATTCTGGGTGTGAATCTGGTCTCCTCTCTTGGGGATGCGGCCACATAGTGAAGGAGTTCCAGCTGAGGAATAGAATGGCTTTCCCTGGAGCCCCATTTGTGAAGTCAAATCTAAAGGCCCAGGGTCAGCTCCTTCTGTGCTTTGCCATCTTGTCCAGACCTGCTATGCCCAGTGTTTGTCCACGTGATGTCTCTGGGCTCGGTCTACCCATCTGGCTGCTGCCCTGACTCCTCTGTGGCTTCAATCCTCTTCTTGGCCTGGGTTTAGATCACTCCCTTACCTGTAGGTGCTGGGGACAATTACTGGAGACCACCAAAGCAAATGAGCCATGTTTTGCTATTTTGTTTTTCTAGACTTATCACCAGACCCCACCACCTACCTTCTCTTTTCGAGAAAGGATAACTCACAAGAGTCTCGTCTACCTCTGGTTCCTGTGCAGGTATCTAACTCTCATTTTTTAACGGTTTACGGGAGGGGCAGCTTCAGGAAGACCTTGTTAGGTGCCCGGTACAGGCAGGAACCCATCCCTGTGTAAACTGCCACCATTGTATTCAAATTTAGGCTGGCAAAGAGTCAGCACTTAACTTTCTTCAGCATTTTGGGGTAGGGAACACTAAGGACACTAGCACTGGGTGCTTGTTACGTGCCAAGGTAAGTTAAATTTATTTTATTTAATCCTCACAGCAACACCAAAGGGTAGTTCATTGCATTTTATAGATGAGGAAAACTTAGAGGGGTGATTTGTTCAGTGATACATAGCTAGGAACGGTGGAGCTGGATTTTGAATTCCGTGCTATCAGATTCCAACCCTCTGTGCTTTTACTACCCTATACTATCTCTATAGTTGCTATGAGTCGGAATTGACTCGATGGCAATGGGTTTGGTTTTTTTTTTTTTACTGTCTCCCACGCATGGATGGATATTTTCGGAATCATAAAACATTTTTCTTAATAATACAGACTTATTTCTCCACCCTCATTTTCACATACTGTATTCGTAGCCCATGCTGATGCTTTTTTGTTAATGATTTTTATAGACATAATGAAGTAGCAGTTAACCTAGGACATAGGCTACAACTAAAATAGTAGGCCTTGCCTCAGGCTGGGACATAAGGAAGACAAAGGCAGTGAGGTCCCTGTTGTTGTTAGCTGCCTTCCAGTCGATTCTGACTCATGGCAACCCATGTGTGTAGAGTGGAACTGCTCCATTGAGTTTTTAAGGCTGTGACCTTTCAGAAGCAGATCGCCTGGCTTGTCTTCTGAGCGCTAATAGTTGAGCGCTTAACCATTGAGAGGTCCCTGGTAATCATTATTGCTCGGATCAATTGCAGGCCTTCCTCTAGCCCCCTCTAAGCTCCATCAATCTTTGCTCCTCTTTTCTTAGTTCTGTGGCACTTGCCCTGGGTGCCCTAACTGTATGGCATGCTGTGCTCATCAGTCGAGGTGAGACTAGCATTGAACGGCACATCAACAAGAAGGAGAGATGTCGGCTACAGGCCAAGGGCAAAGTGAGTAGGGCTGAGGGCTTGGGGTGGGTGGGTAATGGAACCTGCCACCCTGTAAACAGGCCAGGGATGACTAGGGCAGGCACCCTAAAGGGCCAGAACCATGCCTTGCTGAGCTTTGGCTTAGCTAATTTAGACTTGAAAGTTGGACGGGGATTAAGTAAAAGAGGCTCCTAGAAACATATGTTCTTCTTGGCTCTAGGTATTTAGGAATCCTTACAACTACGGCTGTTTGGACAACTGGAAGGTATTCCTGGGCGTGGACACGGGAAGGTAAAGTAAAACAACTAGATCCGTGCTGCCCAACAGAACTCTGTGACGAGGAAAATGTTCTAGACCTGTGCTGTCTCAATACGCCACTAGTCACACGTGGCTACTGAGCACTTGAAATGTGGCTACTGTGACTGATAAACTTAACATATTTTTATGCAAATAAAGAACACGTCGTCGTCGTTTTTTTTCCAACCATGCAAGCCCCTCGCACATTATTTTCCTAGGTTTGCTACACGCATTATATGTGGGAGTGTGTAATTTGCAGAAAATATGGTAATTTTCAGTCTTATTTCATTTTAATTAATTTAAATAGCCACATGTGGTTAGTGGCTACCATACTGGACAGTGCAGTTCTAGACTCCAGGAATAGACATCATTGCTTATTTGAGCCAAAGGGGCTTAAGTGCAAAACCATGTGGTTTAAATAGTAGATGTGGCTTAAAGATGACTAGAATAGAATCCTGAGAAAGTTTCTCTTAATAAGAGACCTGTAGGTAGGGATAGTGGCCACCACTTGTGTGGCAGTGTCTGGAGATCAAGCCAAAAATTTGTGGGACTGAAGGAATTTATTTGTGGCAGAGATCATAAGACAATACATGAAGCTACCTCTCTCAGCACAAGGGACAAGGGTGGTCATTTTCCAAATGGGAACTACTGAGGCAGTAACAATCATGTGATCACAAGTGTCGTTCCTCCACCCGCTCCTATCCTCATAACATTCCTGTCTGTAACTGGGCTTGCCTGCAGTGGCCCGTTAGAAGTTTAGCTTGAAATTTCTAAAGGCCTTCAAAGCACCAAAGGTGCATTTAGTGGACAAAAATTAGGCAGAGGAGAACAGAACTTTTGTTACCTTTGTGACTAGTGCCAAGGTAGCTTCAGGGTACCTTGATATATCCTTGCTGAGGAATGAGGATTTAGAAGGAAACCTAGAGATCTTGGAACTCGTAGAGACATCTCTGTCTTCTCTTGCAGGCACTGGCTTACCCGGGTGCTGTTACCTTCCAGTCACCTGCCCCATGGGAATGGAATGAGCTGGGACCCCCCACCCTGGGTGGCTGCTCACTCAGCCTCTGTGATGGCAGTGTGAACTGGAGTGTGTCAGCCGTGACTCTAGCATTCATTCTGCTTCCTGCATTGTCTCAAGGACCTCCAAGGGCAGCTTTTCTTGGAATCTTTGAACAAAAAGAGCCACTGGGCCTGCCTTAGGATCCCATGCAGGGATAACTCAAGGACTAACCTACTGGCTCCTGCAGAAGCAAGGCATGATGTGGGGAAATCCTGGGACTGATGTCCCTTTACTCAGGCAAACAAGTTCCAGCCCCAGACTGGGGGTCAGGCAGCTAGCCAACTTGTCCAGGTGCTGACCACAACCTCCTCCAGGTTACGGCACTGGGCTTGGCCACCACCTCTTTCACTTGCTGTCTAAGAAAATACCTGAATGGTACAGCCGAGATCCTGGCTTCTCAACAGGGCAGATACCAGGCTGCTGCTGAGGTCACTGCCACTTCTCACATGCTGCTGAAGGGAGCAAAAATAAAGGTATTGGATTTTTAAAGATCTGTGGCTTCTCACTCTTTGCCTTTACTGTAGGGCAGGGAAGGGGGAAATTCAGGGTCAAGGCATAGTGAGTAGGTGTTCTGGTCATGCCCCCTCTGCCCTATGTGTAGGGGCTAAATGCCCTGAAGAAGTCTTGGCCTCTATTGCATGCCAGTGACTCCTCTGGTTATGTGCTACTGAGGCACAGGTGGGGAGAAGGGGAATAGCTGACAGTCAGCCCCATTACCAAAAGAAATCTTTATTCTCCAGCAGGTATACACACATCCACCCTCCCTGGTCCTCAGGGCCACCTTCATCTGCATTCACCCCTCAGCAGCACATTTTCCTTTCTCTGCAACATACATGGAAGAGCCCACAACAAGATCTTTGTTCAAATATAAGTAGTCTCACACTCCGTTACTTCACAAACTCATCCCAAGTCAGGATTCCTATGTTTCTTGTACAGCCATGCAGCAGAGGCCCTGCATTTGTGCTGTGTCAGTGGGAGAGGAAGTCAGAGGCCAGTAGTCTCCCTGCCTTGAGCAAGATGGCTCAGTAGTTAGTAATCCTGGGTTAGATGGTTGGTGAGAACAGTCACAGACAAAGCCAAGGGCTTAGCTGCTGGGGCTCCCCAGCAGAAACCTGTAGGCAAAAAGAATGATGGCAGTATTAGTTGTGAAGCTTATTTCAACCCTCATCTCTCCTGTGGCCTAGAAACTTACCACTCTCCCCTGGCTGATACTGCTTCCTTACGCACCAGTCTCTTCTTGTCATCCAGGGGCTTGGCTAAGGCCCGGATCACCTGTGGTTTGTACGGCAGCAGCTGTGGAGTCAGAAGAAATAACCTGAGCCTTGCTCAACCAAGGCAACTGAAAGAGCCACTTCTCTGACTCCGTCCAATTAATATTCAGAAGAAAGCAAAACTTGTCCTATTTTTCTTTAGTGATTCTAAAGGATGCTATGTGGCAGGATGGTCATTTTATTATAGGGTAGTGGGGTTTACTGGGTCCATTCTGGGACCAAGGAAGAAAATCTTTGCCTGTGTGCACCTTGTAATTTATATCTCAGTCACACAGCAGGGTCGCTAATCCCATTTGACTAAGGCAGAAAGGTACTTCTCTGTCTCGTCTAAGAAATTTCCAGGCCAGAGAGGGTCTGAGGTACTTACCACAGGGGTGGGCAGGCGAGTGAGCGCGTGCATACACTGGAGTGCAGCTATCCGGACCACCTGGAACACAACCATAAGGAGGTGAGGGGAGACCCAAGAGGGTGAGATGTAGGTGCCAAAGAGCTGCTGGGGCTCAACGCACCATGGAAGGGCTAGAGCTGAGGTTCAGAAACTTGGTGACGAGAGTGTCGACGTGAAGACTCATGACTTGGGGTGCTTCCAGTAGAAGAGGCTGAAGACAGCTGAGGGTGGAGAGCTGTACCACACAGTCAGGGCAGGACAGGGCCTCCAGCAGCAAGGAGAGAAGCTAAGGAGCAATAGGAAAGATGGGGGATGACCATGTTATCTGATGATCCTGGCTGTCCTCCTCCCCTTTTTAGCCTTAGCTGGAAACCAACAGCTTTGTCCCTTGCTCAGAAGCCCCAACTGCAGGACTTACTGTGGGCAGCTCTGGCAAGAGCACAGGCTTGGGCAGTCTGTTAAGTACGTGAGATAGACCCTTCAGGTAATTTGGCTTCACATCTGTAACAAATGGAAAAGCTTAGGGGAGAAACTAGACTTAACAATAGCTTGAGAATTCAACTCTAATCTCTGAGGCTGGAACATCAGCCGACTATTAAATAAAAAACCTTTCAAGCTCAGAATAAGCAAGTTACGCTAATCATAGGGAAAAAGCAGGATGAAAATCAGAACATTTAGTCTTCTAGGTGTAGACCATATTACAGCTCTAAAGAAGCACTCAGGCCCTAAATTACCATTTTAGGGAATGTGGCCTGGGCAAGGAGAGAAGGTCTGTGTTTGGGGCCTTTCTTTCAGGCTCTCCTCACCTTGAGAAGCAGCATGGAAGCCCTGGACCAAGGCAGGCACATTATCCGTGAAGAATCGCTGGCGGAACATGATCCGCACTTCAGCATGGCCAGCACGAGTCAACACATCAGAGCAGTCAGACATGAGCAGAGAGAAGCCATCAGCTGCTGCTGGGCCTAGTTCTGGATCACTCAGGAGGCCCATGAGCTAGAGAAAACAGAGTCTTTGAGGGACATCAGAGGAGAAGAATCTTGAATACCCAAGAGGAGAATGGAAGTTGTATCTGGGAGGACAAGGATTGATAGGGAAGTTCCTGGTTAGATCCTAGGTTCTCCTGTCTCTAGGAAGGACTTACTCGGTCTGTGAGGCAGGAGCTGCGAGGATGGTATCTGAGCACTAGGGCCTTTGTCACCTGTAATCAGAAAGAACAATAAGGGCATGCACAACACTCAAACCCAGGACCCTGGGAAGCATATGCTTCTGGTTCGTGGTCAAGTAGATACATTTTATTTAACCAGACATAACTGCCAGTCCAATTTCTTACCCATAGAAGCAATGTAAAGGCCTGAGTGCGACAGAGCCCAGGGCCCAGGCCAGTCTCCACTTTGTCCATAGCCAGCTGTAGGAATTCATCCAACTGCTGCCCTAAAGAGGAAGGAAGAAATGCTGAAGCAAGGCTACAAATTTCTCCTTTAATAATGAAGAATATAAATCATCTAAATGCAGAGCTCCCTGAGAAGCTGTTAAAAAATAACAATTACTACTTTGCCTGTGGACCTTGCCCACTCAGCTCTAGGACATGGGAGCCTGGAATTCTCATAATGCAGGGGTGCCAGCATTTAAAAAGCAAGGGTTGTCTACTTGCAACAAAGAACCATCCATAACAGCTCTGCTGTAGGGAGTAGGATGGCAGAACTAGGTCAAGCATTCTGCTTGTACCCACCCTCCTTATGCCCTGCAATCCTCTGCCCAACTCTGGTCTTGACTCTTGTCCCAAAGGCTGTCCTAGGGCAGTGCCTGAAGCCCTATTACATTATTAGCAAGCTCCTTTTTATGGTGATTCAGGGAGTTCCTGTCCCAGTCTCGCCCTCAAGCTTCATGCTCATCCCTAGTACCTGCAGGGTGCTTGTTGAGGAGTCCTGCGAAGCACTTGGCAGCAGCAGTGGAGGAGAAGGGGCAACTGTGGCAGCAGCTCAGCTCTAGAAGCTCCTGCATGAGTTGGTTTAGCTGAGGGATTTCCACCTACAGAAAACGTGGTCATGTAATGGACCCAAAGAACACTTCAACTCTAAGAGGTACCCAGCAGAAAGCGGCAGCAGGGGCCAGGATGGATGAGAACTCACTTCTCCAGTGGGGGAAGCGAAAGAACACCAGCTTAGCTTGTGGCAAATTTCTGCCAAGAGGTCACTTGGAACCACCTCCCCTTGTCAGGGTTAAACAAGGGTACTCCCCAAATATGCTCACTCACATTTCGCGGCAGGGAGCAGACAAAGGCCATAAGCAGCGCAACAAGCCGCCTCTGCCCTGAGGAGCCATCCTGTAAAGGAAGAAGAACCCTGTCAAGCCTGTCCTGCCCACAATAGGCTTATCTGCTCCTATGCCCATCCCAACTTACCCTCAATCATCAGATTTGAAGGCCTTAAGTCCTAAGATTCTCCTCCCCAATCCATCAAACCCTCACCTGGAATGGCTGGAATCTGCACGGGAAGCTGTTTTCAGGTAGAAAGGAGATGTTGCCATCCAGGAAGAGGGGCACAATGTGGGCCACACTCTGGGCAGCTAAGCTGAGGGTAGAACGTGATATTATCCAAGGAGCCAGGACTCTAAAGCAGCCCTCGCCTCCACAGCAAAACTTTTCCAGTGGGGTTTCGCATTAGAACCACTGAATCAATGGCCCAGGCCATGGTCATTCACGCACTCAACTGTGAACAGCGCATGTTATGTGCCAGGCACCATTCTTGTTCTAGGCCCTGGTGATACATCAGTGAATCAGAGAGATCAAGTCCCTGTTCTCTTGGAGCTTACAATCTAGTGAGAGAACTCAAAATAACGTATATTTAAAAAATGCTCCACAGGTGATTATTATGTACATCTGCAGCTAAGAACCACTGGCCCATGGCTCACCCACCCCCAGAGCCTTCTGGCGCGGAAAATCCCTTCCTCTTACTTTGCCAGCAAAACTTACAAAACAAATAACTGGCTCCACATTTAAATCTGGGTAAAAGGACAGCTCAGAAGACAGTTATCTGCTGCTGCCTGTCGAGAATGCTAACACATCCGTGTTTTACTCACTCAGGGCTCAGATGGGTGGTGGCAGTGCCAATGACAGACACCATGGCAACCAAGACCTCATCCTCCAACAGCACTTTTCTCAGAACTGATAGCTCCTTCTCTGCAAAAACAAAACAAAATAACACATACACATATACACTCGCAGGGAATCACAAGGCCATGTGGTTCAGAGTTCTGTGTGATTAGGTCCTATCATTATGACTGAGGTAGGACCCGAGTTACCACAGCACCAGTTTTTAATCTGCCTCTGGTAGTTCTGCAGTCCTGAGAACAAGCAAGGGACTGGAAACACAAGTGGTCTAATCTGGGGTCACAGAGAGCTCTCTGGAACTTTGTGCATAGTCCTTAAACCCGGCAACAGTGGAGAACAGTGGCGTCACCAAGGTTGGTGTCAACCCACCTCCCCCACGGACCTCCTCCATAACAGACCATAGAGAATCCTTAATGTTTTTTGTACTAATGTTACTCATAAATCATAATTCCCATATATCATTCCTTCTTTTCCTTTAATTACTAGTTCATTCTCAAAAAAGTTATTAATAGGTTCACAAACAGTCATTACCACAATACTGTAGCTAAAACACCAGAAAATTTGATAATATCTGCGACTATAAAATCACCTGCAGCAAGGAAAACCACAGCGCGTGCTTGTAGCACAGACAGACGAAATCATGTGATTCAAAGTGTCATCGCAATTGGGGAATAATGACAGTTCTGACCAGAGTGCTTTAGAAGGTTCAAA